GTGTATGTCTAGTTAAAACGTGATATTGCAAAGGCAATCAGAGACCCACTAATAAGGTACGTTCAACGCTCTAGCAGCGCTGCAGATACTGCGAAATTGGCCAGCATAGAAGGCCTAGATAGCAAGGATAACTCTGCCTTCTCTAGTAGTATTCTGAAGTTGTTGTTGTTAAGGCATGTTGTGTTAGGGTAAAAGGTGGTCGTGCTAAGAGAAAGTGGCCAGTTCGGTGATATGGCCGGCTCGGTGATAATCTACGTTACCTATCAATAGGTATGCTCGCTAGGTACCCCCCCTTTTTTGACCTTTTCTAGCCTCTAGCTTGTGCAGTTTAATAGTTATAACAAAACCCTCTGCTACAGAAATGTAGATGTAGTTTTTCTCTTTCTTTTAAGCCCTATTTTGCTAGAATCCATGTATTATTGACAAAGTTTTGGGGGGTACCCACGAAGGACGTTGGAGTATACCCATTCCGCCAGCCTAGCTGCAGGTCTAACAGAGCAGTAGCAGACAACCTCTATCTATACTAACTCTCTCTTTTCAATCTACTCTCTATCTCCTATATGGCACCTAAATGCCTCTAAACACACACAAGGGTTCTCCCCTATTACGTCTATACTGCTTAGTCTCTCTAACAGGAAGGAGAGCTATAGCTAGAAATAGTAGAAATACTCGCACATGCAAGAAATGCTTTCTAGGGTAGCACAACAGCACTGTAAATCTATAGCTCAGCACGTCCTACATGCCCTTCGGGAGGCAGGATGGCGGACTTAATCCCCATCCTTCGGACGAAAATCAATTCTAACCAACCAACCAACGCGTTTGAGACTTAGCACGCCAACGCGTCTTCCACATTAACAAGGAAGGCTTCCTACTAGCCTTTAGGGACGTGTTCCTTAATATTTTTACAAAGGTTAACTGCTAAAAGGCCTTTAAGGCATTAGGGCTTATTCCTACTAACACGCAGGTAGTGTTAGATCGCCTTAAAGTGCAGCTGCATACCCTACTAGCAGTACCTCTACCTAAAACACTGTGGTAATCTAAGACGCTAAGCAATACACATAAGTTTAGGTCTTAATTTAAGCTTATAAGTAACTCCTTCTAATAATTACTAAGTGCAGCACAAGAGGAGTTCTTAAAGCTTGTAAAAGGGGCTAAAGAGATGCTGCACAAAAACGTCCTTATTAAGGCCTATGTGCAAGAGCTTGAAGAGCAATTAGCAGTAATAACTAAGAGAAAATCGCGTAAGAGAAAGCAGATTCAGCATAGTAGCACACTTAAGTATAGCCTAGCAGCATCGCGGGTAGCTGCTAAGGCGTGTGTAGCAGCTCAGCCATCTAAGAAGACTTAGGGTGGAGGTGGTCAACTAGGAGCTTAGTTAACTGTTTAGCGCTGTAGGAACTGCAGCAAAACTAGACACAACGCACGAACGTGCTAGGAGGGTATAGAAACATCTTCTAAATCTAATATAAGCACGTAGTATGCTAGGTCACTGTTTAATAGCAAGTAGTTGTAGTTGCAGTAACTTGTGTTAGTCGTGCTAAGAGAAAATGGCCGGTTCGGTGATATGGCCGGCTCGGTGATAATCTACGTTATACATTTGCTCTTCATACCGCGACAGATGCACTAGATGCACGTGGCTCTTGAGCTCAAAGATCAGGAACTTCATGTAAGGAGCTGGCCTCTGCGGGCTATTTGCAAGTATGAATCAAATGGATTTGTTGAGGAGTGGCTGCAGGCGGAGGTCTGCAGACTTTTATGTCCTCTGTGCAGAGGTTACACAATTAGTCAAGATTAGGACCTCCTGACTGGGGGTATGGCTGGGCAGGCACCTCCTCTTGGAGGTTGGCCGAGGCCGGCGAGCGCCGAGGCGCTACCATCGGGCCTAGCCCGTTACAGTACCCCCCCACTTGTCGCGTTGTTTATAACGCGTCCCTAGGTCAAAACACCAAATCTAGTCGCGCCACCCACTACTCTGCTAACTAGCTTGTCTCCAACATCGTACCACGAGCCGCTGTCCCCTGCCCCACCACAACTATTCCACCGCCCATTATGGCTCCTAAGACCCCGTCCAAGCCTCGCCAGGGCAAGGTGAGTGTCGTGGTGCTTTTTGCTAATTGCGATTTCGCTAAGACCCCCACGTAGCGTCCCCTATCTAGGTCTCCCTCTGTTGCACGCCTGTCTAAGAGGCCAATTAGGCCTAATAATATTGTTATGGACAAAGAAGAGGTTAACACAATGCTTGTCTCTAATAACAAGGACAACATTAAGGAAGTCTCTAATAAGGCTAAGCAGTCTCCCTATACTGCGCGTGCCCTTAGGTTTACCAACCTAGAGGTTTGCACTGGCTGCGCTTTAGAGGGTTTTGCCTGCACGTTCTCTAGGGATGCTTACAAGAGGGGCGCTAAGGTTCGCAAGTCTGCTTGCGACGTATGTGCTCAGAAGCAGACTGCTTGCATTAAGGTAAAGTTGCTGCAGTTCCCCTTTTACAGTGTGCTAACGTTAGGCAGCTGCCCTGCAAGACCTTTAGTACTTTAGTAAAGTACAAGGTAGCTTCTTGTGTCTCTAAGAAGCCGTTGCACCTCCTCAAGTACTCTGCGCCTGTCAGGCTAGCGCTAGAGAAGCGCATGAACCTCCCCAAGCACGCCAAGTTAGACTCTTACCCTCGTTCTAGTTATAGTGGCGTCGCTGGTTACAACCTTAAGTGGTCTAACTATAAGGAGGAGATCAACGCTATACTCGCCTGTCCTTACCTAGAGGTTAAGTTTACTAAGCGTACCACTCTAGCTTGTGAGGAGATCCTTTAACAGCAGAAGCAGATTATAAGTGTTTCCCTAGGCTTTGTTCCTTCGTGCTTATAGTTCTGCAGCTTCTGTATCTGTTGTCTCTTTATGCGCACGTTCTTGACCTCAGAGCGTCCTTCCGCGAGCGTGTTGGCATGGCGGCTCCTGTGACCACTTCCGCCGACATCATGGCCCAGCTCCAACTGGAGGCGGAGGCCCTGGTCGCGAAGGAGAAGGAGCGTCTTCAGGACGAGGATAACAGGGTTCTTTAAGGCACCCCTCTTAGGTTGGCTATTAGCGTTTAGAGTTTCTTTTTTGCTTTTTTTTTTAATAAACAATACCTAGCTGTGGCCCTCCTAGATACTCTAAAGTTAGAGTAGCTACTTCTAGAGTAGCTTCTTAAATAAACTATTGTTTATTTTTATATTCCCTCCCTCCTTTATGCGTGCCCTGATAGTAGCCTATAGTCTTCCTCTTCCTCTTCTCTAATACTATGTTTAAGGTATTAGCTTATACGCAAACTCCTGTAAGGGGTTTGCAACAGAAATTAGCAGGTAAGTTACTATTCTTGTCTCTATAGTTTGCAGAGAACACTACCTAGTTGTCTAGGGCCTCTAAGTCCTTGCACGTCGCCACTAGTTCCCACGTTGCTTTTGTATAGCCACGCCACTTCACAAGATACAAACAGTCACGACCACCAGTCCCTATCGCTTGTTCCGCGTCAATTTGTTCAACCTCCTATTCCTCTGCTAACAACCTGTCATTGTTTGTAACTATAAGTGGGCCTAGCTGTTAGTTATTGTTAGTTTAGCCATGCAGAGGGTTCTAGGGGCATAGGCGTAGCTGCTTAACGTGAAAAACAGGGTGGATGTTCCCTTTAATGTTAAGTTTGACGTTGTGAGGAGACACTACCTCTATAACAGTGAACTTCTAGTTCTTCTAGTCTAGTTTCTGGCTTTCCCTGTTGTTAGAGAAGTAAGTACCTAGTTTAAGCCATACCTTGTCGCCTACCCGTAACTAGGGAGCCTCTTTGTAGTGCTTGTTAGCCTGTAGTTCTTGTGCTTGTTAAGCTTCTGCTATCTTAGATTGTGCGAAGCTGAACATCTTAACAAACTTCTTAGTTATAGCAATAGCTGCTTTACCTAGAGACCTTGCGTAGCAGTGTAATAGCTCTGCTGTTAGGTCTAGGTCCTCCTAGACAACGTCTACATTGTACCTATGTTGTAAGAAGAAGGGACTTACGCCTGTGGATGCAGCAATTCTCCCTTTAATTGCGATTTAGGCAATAGGTACCTATCAGGCCTAGTCTTTCTGCAACTAGTTGGTGTAAGCGCAGAGGTAGGCTTCTACTACAGAGTTTATGCGTTTAGTGCTCCTATTAGTTTGTGGGTAAAACGCAGTTAATAACCTCTGTGTGATCTTCAGCATGCAACACATGACTGTCTAGAAGTTGCTTAAGAACTAAGATCCTTAGTCTAACATAATAGCGTTAGGGAGCTAGTATTATGCTACTATATGTGTAAGAAACGCTTTTACTACTATATTAACCTATAAGCTAGGCAGTAGAATAAAGGTTACGTCCTTAGAAAGACAATCTATAACTACTATAAGGTTCTAGTTACCCTTACTTTCTAGAAGGTCTGTAATAAAGTCTATAGAGATTTCCTTCTAGATCCTTTTAGGTATTAGGAGCAGCTTTAGTAATCCTTATTTTAGTTCTCTCTATAGCTTTGTACGTCTGCAGATGTCGCAGTTCTCTATGTACCTCTGCAATGCTAATAACATCCTAGGCCAGAAGTATAAGCAGGACAATATCAAGTACATGTTGCCTCTACCTAGGTGACCTGCAATAGGCAAGTAGTAGATCTTGTTAATAATCTATCCTCTTAGGACTTCTAAATTAGGTACCTATTTCTGCTTGTAGTAGCGCAGTTACCCTAGATTATTAACTAAATATTCTGCAAGCGAGACTTTAAGACCTAGTTATAGAGGGAACTTCCGCGCGCTAGACAAGATTGTGTCTCTTACTAGTTAGTAGGTATTATCTGCTATAGCTATAGTTGCCTACAGTTGCTCCTGTGTGTTAATGTTGTTGTAAGGTTTATCTTCTTAGTAGCTGTTACTTGTCTAGACTTCTTATCTATAGGCGTGTGTTGTAACAGAGTAGATACTAGGTGGTTTAGCTATAGTTAACTGTGCTGGTTGGAGGCCTTCTGCGCACTAGAGGGATGTAGGGCAAATTTTTGCTAAGAATGCCACTGTAGCACCTGCTTCCCCCTTATTGTAAGCGGGTTTTTGTACCTAAGCAAATAGTTTTAGTAACTAGAATTTTTGTGTTTGCGTTCAATCATCGCCTGTCAGGGGTAGCAAGTCCTCTTCACGTCTAGACAAGGCATTAGCCTAGCTATTAACTTTTCTAGGATGGTACACAAATGTTAGATTAAACTAGCTTAACAAGCTTAACTACCTAATATGCCTTTCTAACAGCAACCTTGTTTTGCAGAAGTACTCTAGATTCTTGTAGTTAGTGACAACCGTGAAGTGTTTCACAGATCTTAGCTTAGTGCTCTATTCCTAGAGGCACTTAATGACTGCCAGCATCTCCTTGTCGTGGATAGTGTAGTTCACCTTGGCCTTTGTGTTTTTTGTGGAGAAGTATGCGATGGTCTGCAGGACGCTATTAGTCCTGTACTGCGACAGTACTCCCCCAGTGGCCTATCTAGAGGCGTTGCACTCTAGGATTGTCTTCAGGTCCTTGTTAAAGTTTAACAGCGCAGGTTCTACAATAAATGCTATCTTTATAGCCTTAAAGGCTAATTATTAAGGCTTCCCCTACTTAAATACTAAATTCTTCCCTATTAACTAAGTTAGTAGTTCTACTATTAAGGAGAAGTTACTAACAAACTATTAATAGAAGTTAGTAAACCCTAGGAAGCTCTGTATCCCTTTTACTAATTTTAGGGGTTCCTAGGCCTTAATAGTAGCAACTTTTCCTAGATCTATCTAGATCCCCTTACCTGCTTTAATAATAAAGCTAAGGTACTTAGTCTTCTTAATAGAGAACTTGCACTTCTTAACATCTAAGTAGAGGCCTGTGTTACCTAACTTCTAAATAATGTCCTTAACTTTAGCTTTATGTTCTGCTTGCAACCTACTTAAGTAGATAAGCACATTGTCTATGTACGCAGAACACTATTTGTCTAGATCTTCCTACAGTACCTAATTAATGTACTGTTAAAAGGTACTAGGGGTGTTAGCAAGTCTAAAGGGGGTTACAAGCTACTTATATAGTCTAAACCTTGTCTAGAAGGCTGTTTTCTACTTATTACCTTTAGTGATGTGAATTTTATAGAATACTTAGATTATGTTAACTTTAGTAAACTATTTAGCCTTTAAGATTTGTAATAGGGTTTTGTGGATTAGTAGTAGGGGGTACTAGTCTTTTTTTATAATTATATTAAGTGCCTAGTAGTCAACGCAAAATTAGAGACCTCTGCTAGGTTTCTAGGCGAATAGCACTAGCGCTGAGGCGCTAGATTTGCTCACACAAATGAAGCCTCTGTCTAGGTAGCTAGTTAGTTATTGGCAGAGGACTAAGAGTTCTTCTCTTGACATGCTGTATAGGGGTCCCTAAGGGATTATTGCTAGTTTGCTGTCCTGCTTAATAAGCTTAATAGCATGGTCAACATCTGCTCCTCTGTGTAGAGCTAGTTTGTCTACTTCTTCCTTTATAAATGTCCAGAACTCCTCCTTTAGGTAGTTAGGGAGGAGGACACAAGGGTCCTAGAGGCCTTTTTTTTTAAGGCTTTCTGTATGTCCGCTATAGAAGCAGAGAAGATTTCTATTAAAGAATCTTTCTTTGACCACTTTTGTAGTGCCCTGTACAGCTCTAGGCTAACCCACTGTAGTACTAGCTCTGGTCTGATGCCTTCTTTGCTCTGCACCCTTGTCATAGACAAGTAGATAAACAGTGACTTCTTAGCTAGCGCTAGGGTCACTTTGTGCTTATCCATCCACAGGCAGCCTAAGATTAGGTTGTATTCACGTTCTCCTTCAAGGACGTACACAAACATCTGTTCAACATAGCTGTTAATGTTAATCCTTATCCTGACTGCTTTCTTCAGCCAGGTTATCTTGCTAGCTATGCCAACAACTTGTTTCCTTAGTACAGAGATGCGCCTAAGGTTGTTTTATGTTATAAAGCTTGAAGAGATAATTCTGTAAGTTAAGCACCTAGTATTAATTAGTGTGTGTGCTATAGTCTTGTTGTCTATTAAAACGTGCAACAAGATAGGTTTGCCATCTAGCCATTGCTGATAGAACTGCTAGAATGACTTACTATCCTAGTTAACCTTGCTAATTAACCCCTGTCTGCAACTTAGGACAGGAGGTTCTAGTTTTCTAAATCAGAATTGTTCAAGTCTGAGTATTCCTCTACACCGTTCATCGTGGCAGCTGCGCTGACCTGTACAGTACCTGGTTGTCTAGCTGGGGCTAGCTTGCATTAGTTAACGTAGTGGCCGTCTCTGCCACACTAGAGGCACTAGTTGTTAGCCCTTCGCCTGTTAAGGACCTCTTGTAGTTTCTATTCAGCTCGTTCGCGTTTGTTGTTATTGTTGTTGTTGTCTACGCGCGCAGTGTAGACTTTTGTAGGTTCCTAGTCTATCTTGTTATTGTCCTTCCTTCTAGGTTATTATCTAAACAACGTGTTGTAGGTGTAAGTCTTAACTTGCCTTAGGTTAGTCTCTACTTTTAAGACTTGTGCTATAAGGGTCTAAAGTTCCTATTCTTTAAGGACTTCTATAGATACTATCTTGTCCTAAAGGTTGCTACAGATAGTAGATATATACCTTGTCTTAAGGTTCTGTTTATTTTCTTCTTCTCTAGCATTAAAGGCTAGCTAGACAAACTCTGTGTTAAAGGCTTTAAGGCTTTATCTATTTTTCTTTATTATAATTGTCTGTAGCTTCTAATAAGATCTTTCTTTAAACTAGGTGTCTTAGTATTATTTATTAAGGAAGCTCTAGAATTCTATAGTTAATCCTAATAGGTAGCAGGATTTCTAGGACAGACTAACCTAGGCAGCTTGCCCTTCTAATTAGTTAAACATGTACACTACGCCTAGGATTAATTAATATTCTCCTATAGAAGTAAGCTTGTCTGTTATCTAGGACTTAAATGTCTAATAGAGCTAGCAGTTACTATTAAACTTCCCTATATTAGGAAGCTTGAGCTTTGTAAAGCCTAACTAGGTTGCAGTGGCAGCTATTATTGGGGCGGGAGAGATATTGGCTGTTGCTGATCTCTGCTGTTCCTTGTCCTTGTACGCCTGTATGCCTGCTTAGATAGCCTATTATATGTATTTGTTTGTTATGTTGACTATTAGTTAGGATTGCTAAGGTGTTTGTGGAGGGTTCAGAGGTCCAGTTGTCAGCTGTTCGACCTCTGGCAACCTGACTGTATCTTTGGGCAGGGCAGCCCAGGCTGAGTGAGTGGCCAACAGAGTCAGAGCGCGTTCGTAAATGGTCTCTAGCCATTCCGCAGGTGCTAGAGTGCTCACGCGGTGTTGCAATTCTGTGCGAACATCTAATTAGGAGTTAGTACTTAAGCAGAGTTTAATTCCATATTCAACAAGGCGCCCTACAACAGTGTTAGTGTTTTTGCTTATTATGAGTGGTTCCTTGCAGATGCTTAATAAACAAACAAATAAAGAGGATAAACAAATCTAAATATAAGGAGCTAGCCTCTGCAGGCTATTTGCAAGTATAAATTAAATAGATTTGTTAAGGAGTAGCTGCAGGTAGAGGTCTGCAGACTTTTATGTCCTCCGTGCGGAGGTTACACAATTAGTCAAGATTGGGACCTCCTGACTGGGGGTACGGCTGGGCAGGCACCTCCTCTCGGAGGTTGGCCGAGGCCGGCGAGCGCCGAGGCGCTACCATCGGGCCTAGCCCGTTACACTTCAGGGCCTCAAAACAGCACTAGAGAGTAAGAAGAAGCGTTAAAAGAAGAAGAAAGTATTGCCACTGTCACCGCGGGACCCTAATGTACAAGGGGGGGCCATATTCTGGGATCCTTCATCCGTTGCACGTGCCAAGACCCGTATGAAGGATATAGAGAAGCAGGCAATCGCGGATGACGCTGCAAAGGCTGATCGGAAGCAAGTACAGCACAACAACAAGATCCTGAAAGAGAAGGATAAGGTTAAGAGGCAAGAAAAGGCAGCGTTGAGGCGTGAGAAGGCAGCTCAAAAGAGGGTGGAGAAGGCTCAGGGGATCGCCGAACGCGCAGCTGAAAGAGAGCGCGTCAAAACACTCAAGAACACAGAAAAAGTATCCTAATTGCCTAAGCAGGCTAATCTCAAGGCCTCAGCAAAGCCACGGTCAAAATCAACTAAGTGTGGTGGTGGTGCAGCAAAGGGCAGTTCACAGGAGTCTCATGAGCCCAGCTCGGCACCCCCGGGCTTCAGGACTCGTGGTGGCCGCGTCACAAAGCCCACAAAAAAACTAAATATGCCAAAAGTCTCGCAGTAGCAGATAGTATATTTCATCAACTTCTTATATAATAATATCTACTCTACGTGGTGTTGTAGCCTCACTGTTGGTGAGGTGGTAAAGTTGGTGGGGTGGCCCACCTGGTGACCCGGCCCACCCTGTGTCCGTGCACGGTACAGGGACCGTGCACATCGTGCACGGATTCACATCGTGCACGCGAAAACCACCTTTGGCAACCACAAAAATAAGACTATAGAGCCACACACAAAAGCTATTATATTGAGATTTTTTTGTTGTAACAGTCTACTAACGCCTATGATGCTTGTCCTGCTCCCATTTTCTATTTGGTCGTGTGGTGCGGCTGCTGCGTGTAGTAATTGGTGGAGGTGTTAGGGAAGGTGACGCCTTAACTACAACCTGAGTAGCGCCACGCGCACGCTGTTTTTTGGCTGGAGGTTCTGTAGGTGGCTTCTGTGAGGCCTTGCGCTTGCCTGTTTAGGATAGTTGGATAGATTTGGCAGCGTCGCTCTCTTGTTTTTTTTGTTGTTTCTTGGCCTTCTCAGCGGCCTTCCTGAGGGCTTTCTCTTCCTTTGCCCTCGCTCGTTCCACCTTCCGCTGCTCCTTCTCCCGCTCATCTTGAACCTTCTTCTCAGCTGCCTCTGCCTTTTTGCGAGCCTTTGCAGCAGCTTCCTCAGCCTGTTGGCGGGTATTTTGACGCAGTTGAGCTTAGGCTTCATCCACCTTTGTTGGAGACCACAACATCGCGTTGGAAGTATAGGACTTGGAGGCCTGTAACGGTAGGGCTTGGTGGTACCTCCAAGAGGTCTTCCGGGTGTCAATTTAGTTGCGGAGGCCTTCGTTTTCTACCTCCAGAAGGGCGTTGCGAGCTGCTAAGTAGTTGAACGTGCGAACCAGCTTCCTTGCCTTATAACTTGTAGAGTCCTTCACTATTGCCTTGCAAAACTGTTCTATTGCGACCCTATTGACGTTGAGTAATGGAGATGGAGTTCGCGGAAGCTCGCTTGGCTTGTTCTGAAACCTGTCAAGTATAATAGCTGGGTTTAGTGGTGAGATGCCTGTGGCTTTGAACGCGGCCAGCACAAGCTCGCTGTTGAATGTTTTGTACCAGGAGGCTTGGAAAAGCTTGTAGAAATGACGCTTTTTAATGCCAGTCAAGGCCTGGCTCTGGTGGAGTTGTTCAGTGACTTCTTTGGAGTAGTTGTTGCCAAAAGGTGAGAAGCAACCCACATCAAGCGGCTGCAACGTCTGGGTACTGTGAGGTGGATAGATAAGTAGTAGAATCTTGTGGCGACTACAATAGTCGATAAAAGCCATCGTTATGTGAGAGCTGTGGCTGTCAAGTATGAGTAGGCGCCAACTACTGCGAGTTTTACTCGCAGTTTCCCGCTCAAACACCTGTTCAAGCCAGGCAAGACCAACCTCGTCGTTGGACCAGCCAGAGGGCGTTGCAGTAGAGTATATAGAGTCTTTGCCTGCGTCCAGGTCCTCCATCCAGGAGGATTGTAGACTGTTTGGCTGGCCTGCATATATGATGGCTGGCGGCAACGTTGAACTGTCAGCGCAGATAGCTGCGAGAATTGTTACCCACTCTCTATTGCCATCCTGCAAGCTTTGGCGTTTGCCTCCGGCTTCCCAAGCTGCCTTACTAAACACCCTTTTGCTCCTATTCACCAATCCAATCGCTAGGCCCTTCTTATCCATATTGTACGTGTGCCGTGGCTCGATAGAGTATTGGTCGATCTTGGAACGTAGTAGGTTAAAATAGTATGAGTACTTTTCGCTATCGTCGGCGTTGTGACGTGAGGCGTCCATGGCGGAGGTCCATTTGTATAGGAGCTTATCGGGGTGACGGTGCAGGAACCTGGTAACCCAGCTATCTCTAACGTACTGTTGGGCCATTTCTGATGCAAAGTTTTGCACCATTTGCCTTGTAGGTGGTAGCCCTTGCTCTGTAAGCTTATTTATATAACTAACAAGCTCATACTCTTGTTGTGGGTTGAGCTTTTGACGTGTGGAGTTGCCTTCTTCACGCGACGCGCATACGCGTTGGTGCTGCTGCAACAGCGTAGATCGCGACACTAAGCTTTGGTCAGCAATTTTGGTATAAGAAATTTCACTAGCTGCATCTGCTCTGTCACAGGCTTCAAGCGCAGCTTCTAAATCCATGCTGTTGTGAAGTTATGGTGTTGAGGAAATTGGCACGTTATGGAGTTCGCGTGCACGATGTGAATCCGTGCACGATGTGCACGGTCCCTGTAGCGTTTGCAACCTCTAGGCTAGCACGCTACATGCTGAATCCAGGACCAGCGCATCACGCAGCAGCTGATTGAGTGCTGCTCTACCTCATGAGCACGCAGAACCTAGCCCTACGCCAAGGCGGAGGCCTCCACCTCGAGGTCGCGAGCGATGCGTCGTTCGCTAACAACACCTCTGACCGCAAGAGCTTACAAGGCTACACTATTCAACTATTTGGAGGCCTGATTGCATGGAAAGCGAGCAAACAAGACACTGTTACTACCTCTACAACTGAGGCAGAGCTTCTAGCTCTATCACAGGTGGCAAAGGAAGCCATCTTTATCTCAAGGCTGATTAGGGAGCTCTAAGTAGATCTACCACAAAAGACTATCACAATACACTGCAACAACACTCAGACAATTAGCCTAGTAACTAAGGAGACATTAAAGCTTCAAACAAAGCTCCGACACGTGGATATCCACAACCACTGGCTGCGGCAAGAGGTCCAACAAGGAACAATCTCAGCACTTCCTAAGAACAAATGGGGCGCCTTTCTCAATCACCTCAACCTTGTAGAGCGAACAGACAGGCCAAATTATCAAGAACTGTCACTGAACAGGCTCCAAGAGGCGCTAGGGTAGTCACCCTGCGAGACGCTGCAATCGGCACCAGTACACAATCCAGCTTGGATCGCGATCCAAGCTGAGGGGGTGTGTCAGACATGAGCAAGGCTGGCCGTAACACTGGCTTGGCTGGAATAGAACTGCATGGAATAGACCGCGCAGCTGGTCGCACAAGGGCGGGGGATAAAAGCCACCTGTTCATAGATTAGACCAGAGGACGATCGATCAATCAATTCATCACAACAATTATCAAGAACCCTTTGAATCTGACAAGAGTATATAAGACGAGAGGAGAGACACGAAATAGAGAGCACAGAGAATACGCACAATTTTTACTACCCACAATCTCGTTGAGTTTATACTCTGACAACAGTACGAAATCTAACACTAGTACAATCTGTAGCGAGGTGAAATTAAGAGCGCTAAGTAGAACCCTGAATTCCGTGATCTAGGAGTAGCTTAGAGACAAGAGCAAGTACAGTCACGTTGGAAACAGGATGGCTGCTGCATACTGTCCGTGTGCTTGTACTAGCTTTGCTTGCCGTGGAAATATATAATAAGGGTACTACAATAGTAGTTATGACATTATCTCGATTGTTAAGATACACCCCTAGTCCAGAAATAGCGGGCACCCAACTGAAGCTGGGCAATTGGTGACAATTAAGCGAACACTTAGGCTTCTAACCTTAAAGCAGGCTTCACGTGCACAGAAAATAGTAATTTAGCAATAAGTTTAATTAAATGAACAGGAGACTATAACAGGTAGAGAGCTAGAGGCCCACGGTAGCTAGCTACTTAAAATTGACAGGCTGTTCTCTTGAGTAGGAGAGAAGAAAAGCAAAGACAGGAAAGACATATGTTTAAGCAGAAGTATTAGAGTCTAGTAGCTTGAGGTATCCCAAGCTACTAGCACCTAAACTTCAGCTTTGAACAATTCCTAACATCAACAACTTAAGTTGCATTAGTTGTGCATTGAACAAATCCATTGACAGAAGAGGCGCCTGTGTGAGTTATGGCGCCAAGAGTAACGCACTGTCCGGTCTTGTTATCGTAGTTGACAATGCAACGGTGTGCTCCTGGTGCACCTACAGGTAATATCAGCAAGAACTCTTAATAAGTACTAGAACACTTGTGTTGTTCGATTTACATGCTGTAACAATTATAGAGAATATAAAAGCTCAACTTACCACCTGAGTAGGCCTTGGTGCCATGAATAAGAGGGTAAATGTATAGGCTGTTGATTTTTGAAACAGACCACGTAAAGCCCTCGTGGTTGGCGAAAAAATGTGGGTAGCCACCTGGACCAGCGCGATTGTTCCACTTGCAAAGTTCATTTTTGCACTCGTCCAGCTCAGCTCTGTCGAAGTTATCGCCAGCGCAATTCACGCCTGCAGCTACGGATGAAGCAAGCGCTGCAATAGCAAGAAGCGCCTGTAGAAGTGTTAGATTGAATCCATTCTCTGCTTTACTGGTGGGTATTCATACTTTGATAAGCATATTGAAAGATTTGAACAAAGTTGACTTGAGTATGCGAGTAGAAGACAGTGGAAGCGATGGGATGTTACTCTTAGTTGCAGCTTGCTACTTATATAGACGAAGGACTTCAGTCATCCCCAGGACTTGCGTTAATAAATTCAGTGACAACTGATGGCGATATTGCTGTCTGACTTAAGTTACGGGCCGATGCTACAGGCTGCGTCCTAGTTCAGAGTGATTGTGCAAGCACTCGAGAGATCACGTATACGAGCTGAATAACGCACAGACCGAGCTCCTACGTTCTTCATGTACCTTTTGTAGAGAAGTACAATAGTTTCTATTTTTATATTTCGTGTTCTATGACATATGGTGAATGCATTCTTGCTGGTTAAATCTCTCATCTTAAGCCCTGAAATACAGGGGCTACAATTGCACGGTAAGTCGTGTTGAAAGAGCTGCTGCTTGAAGTGCATATCTCTGTGTTAGCGAACCAACGGTCTTATTTCTGTCAAGAAGGAAAAGGGTTAGCTTGGCTGATCGGACTACTAGTACAACTATCATTCTTTGGAAAGGCGTTTGAGATGGACCTTCTTAGAGTAAAGCCGTCGCTTTTAGAGTAAAGCCGTCGCTTTTACAAATAGCTTAGGTCAACAAGTGTGATCACAAGAAACAACAGGACTCTTGTTAACAGGGTATATTCCTGGTGTACCATGCTAAGTTAATTAAAGTTTTGCAGACTTGATCTGTGGTTGAACTGCGATTAAGATAGCACATACTGCACCTTACTAGCGCCGAAGGTATAGCCGACAATTTCAGGTGAAAGTCACTCGCCAGAAATAGAATAGTTAAGGGAAACAACAACCATGCTATTGCCAATTACAAGCTATTATTTAACATGATATTAATGTGATATCAGAGTTGTGGTACGTAATTTACTTAACAGCAATAGTTTACGCTTATAGACGTGTAGATTTAACGATTTTAAGTGTTGTACCCATTGCAATCGCTGTTTCTCTTAAGGAAGAAAAACACTATTCACGTTTTGCCGCTATTCCTATACTAAATTGGCGTTTTTTTTCAAAGCTTTGACTGGCATGAACACTCGGCTATACTATCAGCGCTAGTAAGGTGCAGTACATTTAACAGTCTTGAAATGCTCCACAGGCTTTCCATCTCGTTCCGCATACACTAGCGAGACTTAGGTGATCCACTAATTGTCGCGCAGTATTATAAGACCGATTGGTGGCCTTAACTCTGATGGTCAAATGTTCAAGCTTAAAATTGTAAGCTTTTGAGATCCCCTGCGCCGCACCTAAAAAACGCTCAGCCGTTCTCTAGGCCAATCAGTAGACCACCTGAGTCTTATTAGCCTTTGTGGTACTCGTGAAGTGCATGGGTACACTAGGAGGTAACGGTGACCTAGGATCTCTGCGGCATAATGCTGGCGCTAACTTCCCGGGAGATCCGGATTTCATTGCGACCGGATGTCACGGCAATATCCTCTTAGGGCCTGTTTCAGGTAGGTCTGTCTCTATGAACTTAGTAAACATGGACTAAACATACCTTCTCATACGAAACTAGGCCATGCGTCGTACTGCGGTAGATTAAGCTGGAAGCTCCGAATACGGTGGTAGATAAAGCTGGAGGCTCTTGGTACGTCTAGACGTCAGCCAAAGACCGGCCGAGAGGACCGTATAGTCTGATGTCATTTCTCCAATTACAAGGTATGCCCTCTTATCCCTATCTTCCCTCGTCATTGTGTAGCCTACTCCTTACAGGAATATCTAGGCCGAGTCTGCGTAAGACACAGATCGTTATCCATTGCGTAAAAGTATCAAGACTGCTGGCAACAAGTCTTCCATACAATTTTCGACGCATAATGGATTCGCGAACTCTTGCTACTTGATGAGTGTGGCTGTGTGAACTGTCGATTGGGTCTACCTGAGGGAGCGATTATCTACAGTGCGTGAAAGCGGGAGACCTAACCCGATCGAGAAGCGAGCTGGCCTATGAGAAGCGCTGCCCTGCGCGGACACTACTCGAGGAGGTGGTATTCACAGAGGAAGTAGCCGCGGGGGAAGCGCTTTGGGAAGAAGTCACCATAACCTACGACATTCCTTTTCAAGCACCTCTCAAGCCATAGAGTCTAATCTACCAGCCCCATCTACTGCAAAGCTTCTTGTAACGTAGGTGTAGGGCGAGTCGCCCACCAGGGCGAGTTGCCCACTTTTGCCAAGACCCTCCCCCATCAAACCCTATTATGGCCCAAAACACCACAAACTGGCGCTGCATAAGGCAAAACAAGCTGTAATAACATGGTTGGCAAGCGAGTCGGTCAGACAAGCGAGTCGGTCACCCCACCAACTTTGATCACCTACTCTATCTTAACACACAATGCCTCCACGCCGCGCTCTGCTCATGCAGTCAAATGAAGCAGATATTCAGCTTGCTCTCTTATCTATAGATTCTGCCCAAATTCAGAGTACGCGACGCGCTGCTACAGTCTTTAATATCCTAAAATCAACCCTAATTGACTGGCGCGCTAGAAAGCGCGCGCGACGTGATTGCCAGCCTAACTCAAGGAAGCTTACCTAGAGAGAAGAGGAGGTGATTGTTAGCTATATACTTCACCTAGATCAGCGTGGATTTGCGCCTACCTACGCAGCTGCACGTGATATGGCTGATAAGCTGCTGGCTGCACGCGGCGCTGGCCAGGTTGGGCAGAAGTGGCCAGCTAACTTTGTTAAGCGTACAGACAGTCTTCAGACGTGTTTTAACCAAGCGTACAATAGGCAGCAAGCTCTGTGTAAGGATATAATATTAATAAAGAGGAGTTTAAGCTTGTAGAAGAGACAAAGGCTAAGCAGGGTATCTGCAATAAGGACGTCTATAACTTTAATAAAGCTAGCTTTATAATAGGCAAGATTACAACGCAGCTGGTTATAACAGGAGCAGAGAGGAGAGGCAGGCCAAAGACTCTTCAGCCAGGCAATCGCGAGTGGGTAACGCTGATCGCTGCTATTAGCGCTGCTGGCTGGTCAGTGCCACCATTCCTCATCTTCGCTGGTCAGTACCACCTATCAGCCTAGTATGAAGAGGATATCCCACGCGACTGGGCAATCGCAGTCAGCGACAATGGCTGGACGAATAATAAGCTTGGAGTTGAGTGGCTAAAGCACTTCAACGCTCACACGCAGGCTCGTAGTATAGGCGCGCGTCGCCTGCTTATTATT